GTAGGAACTAGGAAGGAAAGGAATTCCTCAACTGTTGGGGGAAAATATGTGTGAGCATTTTTGAGTTGATTCAGAACCAGAATCTTTTTTTTTTTTTTGCAAATCAGAAAAAAATTAAGAGGCAAATCCGAGAACCAACAAATGAAATTGGTGTGGCCTTATAAAGCAGTGTACCTCTCAGATTGCAGGCTTGCAAGATTGGTCTTTACGGCAGGATTTCTGGATACAATCTTGAGTCAATAGGTAGAACAATAAAACAGGGTGCTAATGGTGGACTCCATTCAGTACTGGGCGATGATAAACCCACAGCATAGGCTGTGCATATTGAGTGAAACCAAGAAAAAGATGTACAGTTGTATTTCCATTCCTGGAAAAAATTACATTTGGTTGGGAGGGATTGTCTTTTTTCTCATACCTTTTCATTGGGTTTATTTTATGGTAGAAGGGAAAATATTTTTTTCCATTGTTTAATTTTGGAGTTCTGGTTTTAAAACAATTCTGCAGATAAAAATTATATGTACAGTGTTATGATTTTCCACCAACCCAAAAATGAAACCACCACAGGTTTCTGCATTTACAGTTAATGTGAGAAAGATACTAGAAATATTATGAACTGGAGAGAATTATATTACACGTACCTATGACTATTGATCATAAATGGCTTTGATAGGAAGTATCTGATATTACCTTGAAAGGAAACTGGCCTTAGGGAAAGTGCACTATGGGTTACAGGTATGATGGAAGTTGTCAGTAACAAGTCCAATATGTGTTGTACATATCAGATCTTAGGCCATGTTGATTTGATTATATGGATGACATCCTCCGGGAGCCCCAAAACTGATGCGCGCGTGCGAATAAAAAAAAGTTTTGCAAAAAAAAAAGTTCTTTTCATTATGAAATCTATGTGGTCATGAGGGTTGAGCAAATGGCACAGAATATGGTTTGGCGAATAATCTAATCTTCAAATTCATTTCTTTACGATTTCGTCTTTTTTTGTTTGATTTTGTCATTCTAGTCGACATTGGTATAGTTTTTATTAATTTTTTTTGTAACTTATGGTATATTTTTGCTCATTTTGCAACTGTTTTGTACGATTTACAGTATGGTTGAAAACTTCTTTTTTTTTTAAACGGCCGAAAATTCATGCGCGCGCGGATGTCATCCATATAATCAAATCAACATGGCCTTATGAGAAATCACAACACAATATGGTTGTCGATGTACCAATGCAGTAGATTTCCACACACACACGGCCATCAATTGTCATACATATTCAGCCCTTGAGTCATTTTGTATCCAGGCTGTTTTGTCAAAGTAATGTTTGACAATAGCAGTATTATCTCTAAGTGAAGAGTCCAATATTCTCACCTCAAAATCAATTCCATTCATATAAAAATCCATCTACGTCATTTTAATGACTGACTTTCTCACATTCATACTGCATTTGCGAAACCATTATTGTTTTCTGATGTTGCTTTACATCCAAATCTCCTCCCCTATACATCTTTCAACCCTCAGGAGTTTGGGAGTAATGTAACATTTGACCCTGGGCCATGATATTGTCTTTCAGAGACCTGCTACCCTCCCTGGTACATTAGTCTTTTTTACCTTTCCTATTGATTCGACTTGCAGTTAGGGATCTTATCTATACATCCACCATCAAACTTAGTGCCAGAGAAATTGGTACTGAGGACTTCGATTTCCCCAAGCCTGGGATCTGCATGGTGCAGAGGAGCGTGTCGTATATCACAACCGCTATTTCGCGTCCCCGAACTACTTACCGGCCTCGCGTAGTGCTGTTAGGGGAACAAGAGTGCTGTCGGGCAGGCGAAATTAGCTGTAATTAGTGGTACTTTTGCGTCGACTCGCACATTAAAACTGTGCAGAATTGCGTCCTGTTGATTCCACTCTCCCATCTCGCGATCCTCCCCCTCTCGTTGGACGCATGTCTCCCTTCCTGTTTGCGTGACGTGTAAATCGCTGCGATCCATCAGCCGGCGGCCAAATGTTCCCCCCAAGTCCAGGACTTCCCATTAAGA